CTGTTTTTGATAATACTATAATTATTATTATTATAGATTTAGATTTGGTATGCTTCCCATTCTATTTCTTTTCTTTTTTTATCTCTCTCTTTTTAAAAAATTTATTCCCAGCCCATTTTAATAATTTTCTTTAGAAGTCATTATTCTTAATTGCGCTAAATGTACCAAACTGTATTATTAAACCAAAAATAAATTTAAATATATTATTTTACAAAAGCTTTTTTCAAACCATGTCTTGGAGCATTCACATTCATACTACCCAAACTCTCAATCCTTAGCTATAATAACCAGCGGAAGGCATTGCTGCTCAACAGGCTATTCCAGCAAAATAAACAGTACTAGTTTTATATACATGCAACGAGGTGGGTTATTTATTTATTGTTTTTTTTTTAAATGGCAGATTAGGGCTTAATTGATTATTTTCATTTTATTTTTTTGAAAATGCATGGTGTACTGGGTAACTTTCATGCACTAGGCTAAATTCCTGCGACCTGAAACTAGCTTTTACACAGCTCTTATCCTATGACCTGGAGCTCCAAGAGTTTTAATGCCTATTAAATTAAATAATTTATTTTAAATTAATTTTTATGTAATTTAATTTAAAATTCAAGCTAGATAAAAAGTTAATAGATTTTAACATCAAATTACTTGATTAATTTAATAATATTATTAAAAAAAATATACTCATTATTTTTAAATTTTTTTAAAAATAACCCAATTAATAGCGGAATAAATATGAATTAAGTTGACAATTTTTATTATTTTAGAACATTTTGTGAAATGGGAATAACAATGGCTATTAACCTTGATTAATCATGGTTTAGACAGGATGAAATTATTATTATTATTTTAAATAAACTTTGATTTTTGCCCTAGATTCTTTAATGTTCTACTTCTAGTTAAATCTTTCAATGATACCCTTCTAATTTTCTAAGAGTTGCAATATTATTCTAACCATTTTATCATTAAATAGCCTACTATATAAATTTGGTTGGAGCTTTAAAACAGATCTTGAAATATTTATGTGATCAGGATATTGTAGCATACATGTGGACTTGAGAGAAAAGTAAGAAAAAATATATAATAATAAAAACATGAAAAAAATAGATTTTTTATAAGTTAATTAGTAGAAATTAAAGGGAAGGTTTGGAACTTTTTGAAAACTATAAGGATAACATTGAAATTTAAAGTACAATAATAGAAATGGAAAATTTAAAGTACAATAACAGAAATGGAATATCTATATTGTTCTATTAATTAAGTACTAGTATTTACCTATTTTATCATTGCTTTCTCTAATACATTATCATCTTGAAAAAAATAGAGTATATTTTAAATGGAATTTTAATGTTGTTCTATTTGTTATTTATTGTGTGTGTGTGTGTATATATAACCAGAAGTGAGAAATTATAGTTAAAAATATTTTTATTAATTTTAGTGTGTCATGAGTTTTATTTTTTATTTTTATATAAAAAATAATTAATAAGAGGAGCACCATGAAATTTGCCCACTTTCTCCCCGATGTTTAACAATCACCATAGATTTTTGCGATGACTATCTGCTCCCTCTATCTCTATTCGCCAGACTCTGACACCCTTCACTTCGAAACCATACCATAGATTTTTGCGATAACTATCTGCTCCCTCTATCTCTATTCGCCAGACTGTGACACCCTTCACTTCGAAACCATGGCTTCCATGACCTGCTCAGCAGGAGATCTAGCCCAGTTACTGGGCCCCAACGTCACTAACTCCACTGGTGCTGCTGCTTTAATCTGCTCCCAATTCCACATCGCGGCAAACAATTTCACCGCCACCCAATATGCCGTGGACAACACATATCTCCTCTTCTCTGCCTACCTTGTGTTCTCCATGCAACTTGGCTTTGCCATGCTTTGTGCAGGCTCCGTACGTGCCAAAAACACCATGAACATCATGCTCACCAACGTTCTTGACGCTGCAGCCGGTGGCCTCTTTTATTACCTCTTTGGTTTTGCTTTTGCCTTTGGGACCCCCTCCAATGGCTTCATTGGCAAACACAACTTTGGTCTTAAGGCTTTCCCATCTTCTTCTTTTGATTACAGTTACTTTCTTTATCAGTGGGCTTTTGCTATAGCGGCTGCTGGGATAACCAGTGGTTCAATAGCTGAAAGAACCCAGTTTGTTGCTTATTTGATTTACTCTTCTTTCTTGACTGGGTTCGTTTACCCTGTTGTGTCTCACTGGTTCTGGTCTGTTGATGGATGGGCTAGTGCAACAAGGGGAAATGGAGATTTGTTGTTTGGGAGTGGAGTTATTGATTTTGCAGGGTCTGGTGTGGTTCATATGGTGGGGGGGATTGCTGGTCTCTGGGGTGCTCTAATTGAAGGTCCAAGAATCGGGCGTTATCACCATTCAGGCAGGTCTATTGCTTTACGTGGTCACAGTGCTTCCCTTGTGGTTCTTGGCACTTTCTTGCTTTGGTTTGGTTGGTATGGGTTCAATCCTGGTTCATTTAATAAAATCTTGAGTGCTGTCATTTACTAAAATCTTGAGTGCTTACCCTGATGGTGCTGTCTATTATGGTCAATGGAGTGCAATTGGTAGGACTGCCGTTACAACAACTCTGGCTGGTTGCACAGCTGCTTTGACCACTCTTTTTAGTAATAGAATTCTGTCTGGTCATTGGAATGTTACTGATGTTTGTAATGGTTTGCTTGGAGGGTTCGCTGCTATCACTGCTGGGTGCTCTGTGGTTGAACCATGGGCTGCTATAGTATGCGGCTTTGTTGCTTCTCTGGTGTTGATTGGCTGCAACAGATTGGCTAAGATCTTCAAGTTTGATGATCCATTAGAGGCTGCGCAGTTGCACGGTGGATGCGGCACTTGGGGTGTCATTTTCACTGCCTTGTTTGCCACCGAGAAGTATGTGGGGGAGGTGTACCCGAATAAACCTGGTCGCCCATATGGGTTGTTCATGGGTGGTGGTGGGAAGCTCCTGGCTGCTCAGTTGATACAAGTTTTGGTGATTATTGGATGGGTTAGTGCTACCATGGGTCCATTGTTTTTTGTTCTTCATAAGCTTAAGCTCTTGAGGATCTCAGCTGAAGATGAGATGGCGGGTTTGGATCTGACCCAGCATGGCGGGTTTGCTTATATTATGGATCTGACCCGGCATGGTGGGTTTGCTTATATTTACCATGACGATGACGACGAGTCTCAGAAGCCCGGTGCTATCCAGCTGGGGAAAATTGAGCCTACTTCTACAACCCCAAGTGCAAATGTGTAAGAGGGAGGGAATATTTTGTGTTTTTACAGGGTTGGTGCTTGGATATGCTTGTGAGAAGTTGTTTGTTTGCATATGGAAGATAAATCAATGTAGGGTTAGATCATGGGTGGTGCCTGTTGGGATAACGAAGACGTGGATGACAAGTTCTTCTTGTTCAGTCTTCATGGGTGGTGCCTGTTGGGATAACGAAGACGTGGATGACAAGTTCTTCTTGTTCAGTCATGTTCATGCAGTAAATGTGAAAATGTCTTCTCAGTTCTCTCTGTATTGTAAGTATGGCGATTGGTTGTGATAAGATCTGATTTATTCCACGCGCTTGAAAGCTAAGCCGAGACTGAGATAATATTATTAATTTTTTATTTTTATCAAGTAAATATACTTGCGGTGTAGCAGAGAAAAATGGAACATTATCAGGAAGGAGTGGTGCTGTTTTTTCTTGTTAGCTATTCTCATCGTCCCCGTTAATTGTTCGAGAGTAAGCATAACGTTCCTTTTTTTTTAATCTCGAGACAATAGTTAAATATGAAAGATTTTGTGTTATTTAAATTGTAATTAGTAGTTTTTTATTAGTTATTAGTTACGTTTTGATCTCATTAATTATGTAATGTCGTTAAAACATGTTGTTAGCAACGTCAATAATAAAAATTTCTTCCCTCTCTTTTCTTCCCCGCAACGAAATTACAGCCGCCCTTCTTCCACTCTCTCACGGCGCATCCGGCCAGCAACCGCCCCTGTCACTTTGCCCAGTCCCGAAATATTACATTCTAAATGGAATTGAAAATGTTATATTTTAACATTGGTTATTAACTAGTATTTCTTGCTGCAGTTATTTTGATATTTTCCAGGGACGAAATAGAAAGTTGCTCGTTTTCAATTTCACATGTCACAAAAAGTGTCACTTCCCTTGATTTTGTTTTTTTTTTTTTTTTGGCCGAGACGCAACACAAAATTGTTATGCCAATCTGTTTGAAAGTTTGTTTTTCAAAATAATATTTATTTAAAAATATATTAAAATAATATTTATTTTTATAAATTATTTTTAAATAAATATATTAATTTACTTTATTATTCATATATAAAGAGTAAAATACCATTAAAAAACCCCAATTGCTTTAGATGAATAGTATAATGTTAATACTGTATCACACATAGATTTCTTTATTTCTTTTTAAATACATTAAATTAACATAAATAATGTATTCTTTAAATCGTTCAATTAATACACACACTTGCATCAATTAAAAAATATCTACCCTATTATTTTACAGTAATTATTAATAATTACATCATAAACCCAACTTAAATATAAAAAGTTAACCACCAAAATTAAAAATAATATTTTTAATTAGACTCAAAAATATTTTTTCTTATTTACATCGATTTTTTCCTATCCTATGTTTATCTCTCTCGTATAAAATAATTATTATTATTATTATTTAATCCTTGAATATTATAAGATTTTTCATTTATTTTCTGCTATGAAACCGTAAGGAAGAAAGTTAATTTTCAGGAATTAATTAAAATAAATATGGTGTGTAATTACTAATTTCCCTATACTTTATCTCACATAAATGAAGTTGATCAATGGGACCATCTCCCTCATGTTCCAATCAAGTATGGACCGAGCCCAGTGGAGCTCACATACAATGGGCTTCATGTTTTGGTCCTGCCCCCAACTTGAAGCTCTCGGCCCAATAACACTTAAAGAAAACAAAAACGAGTTTCTAAACGGATAAGACAACAAATCGGAGGAAGCCAACTGAAATCGAGGGGCCGTGCGCTGCCTATGCCAAAGCCAATGCCATGAGCATGGAGGTTGTACTTGCTCGCTCTCCATTTCCCCGTTTCTCTCTTCCTAACACCAACCTAAAAACCACTCTCAGCTCCTCTAACTCCCAGGTACTCTTTTCACTGCACTACAATCTACCCATCCAGAAATACTTTTTTTTGATCGAAAAAGAAAAATCAAAGCGATTAAATTGCAATGATTTTCGCAGGTTCTGTTATGGAGATCCCCGTTGATGAACGTACAGTTAAATCACTACTACAGCAGAAAGCGTAGGGGCTGCATTAATGGTGGCGGAGCTTCTAGACGCAGCCTTTGGCCTCAGTTTTCGAGCAGCTATGATCGATGCAATCTTACGTTTGGGAAGTGTATTAGCAGGCTCCAAGAATTTATGAATTCTTCAGAAAAAATGAGAAAACATGTTTCTTCTACTCTTTTCACCCGGTTGGTTGTTTCAGTGTTGATGGTTTCTTTTGCCGTCAGCAATTCACCCTCCTGTGAGTTCTCAATTTCTATGCCAAAAACACGTGGAGGTAGTGCTAAATCATGTTTGGAGACTGGTTGTTTAATTTCTGTTGTTGTTTAGGGGCTCTGAGCGAAGAAAACCTTCTCTTCTTAGAGGCTTGGAGGACGATTGACCGTGCTTTTGTTGATAAAACGTTCAATGGACAAAGTTGGTTTCGGTACAGAGAAAATGCTTTGCGCAATGAACCGATGAACACGCGCGAAGAGACATGTATGGTCCTATTCCTTAAAAGCATCCATTCTTCTCTTTTTCGTGGTTTGCTGCTTCTCACCTGGCTAGATTTAGATTGAATTATCTGTGACTACGTGCATGTTGAAAGATAAGATTTCAGCTATTCCGTACTTCAGAACCATTGGCAGTAAAATTAGTTGATGAATATAGTTTCTGACTGCAGGTTTGAGAAAGAAAAAAAAAAGGTAAACATTGTTTATGTGAAAAACGTTGAACTAGTTTAAGTTAATTTATCTTAAACATCTGGGGATGATTTAAACTTCAAAATTTATTTTTAGATACTTGTTATTTTGTTCGTATTCACTATGTATTGTTAATTATCTTCGAGTTTTGCGTTGGAATTTTATAACTCTTGAAATGTTTTTCTGAATTATTATTTTTTATATTATATATATTGCACCCCTAAACGGAACACCAAATCGCTCCGAAACTGAAATATATCGTAACAATAAAAAAAAGGGGGGGAGGGGGGGGAGATTGCTGGAATGGTCTTAACAACCATGATTCCGCCAGAAGGGAGTAATCAAATAATTATTTTCTTGTGTAATAGTTAACCTTAGGATAGTCTTTGAATGTGCTGCCTCTCTAAGCGCTAGTGCATATTTGCTATCAGACACGGCTATCAGGAAGATGCTTGCCACACTTGATGATCCTTTCACTCGATTTCTCGAACCTGAGAAGTTCAAGAGTTTGCGGGTATGAGGCATTTTTATCATATTGATGTTATCTATTGCATTTTGGCCAAATAACTGGAAAGAAATCTATAGATGTTGGTATATGCTGTCTACTTAATAAGGAGTTTTATGAATCAGATGATCTTGTCTGAAATCTGTCCATGTTTTCTCTGAAGGCAGTCTGGAACAAAAAGTGCTGTTACTGGTGTAGGGCTGTCAATAGGCTATCCTACAGGGTCTGATGGATCACCTGCTGGACTTGTTGTCATTTCAGCTGCTCTGGGAGGTCCTGCAAATAAGGCTGGCATTTTATCTGGAGACATTATCTTGGCAATAAATGATACAAGCACAGAAAGCATGGGCATATATGAAGCAGCAGACCGGTTGCAGTAAGCATTTTTTTTACAAGGCACCTTTTCTTGAAAGTCGATCTATTTAGTAGGTCACGCAATTTGTCTAACCTGTCACACACTGCCAGAATTCTGTTGAGATCGACATTTTATGATCCTCAAGGAACTTGTGAAATAGAGGTTTTCAAAGGATATTTTGCATCTGTGCTGGTGGTTCATCCAATAATCTGAAGTCATCTTAGCATCAGTGATAGTATAAAGAGCCATTCTTTGCATAACGTTATCCTTTGGAAGATTAGGACCTCTTCTTGTGCTTTTTATTCTTTCATCGAGTTTTCTCATACGGCTAAATTGACATCTAAGTCATATGGTCTTTTTTTAGCAGCTTCTCTGACTCACTCAAAATCATGATAATAAGGCATGCCATATAGGCATGTACTGCATGTTTTTAGATGATGAACTGATGAGAAAAAAGTGGGTGCATTCAAATGAATGGGGAAAAATGAACGAATCATAGACCACCACTATTTTATAGTGGGATTTGATTTCTAAACATATCACTGTGTATGGCTATAGAGCTCATTATGGAGGAAAAATATTAATGAAGCTGTCTACTTGATTTGGAAGCAACTTTTGATTCAGTTAGATGTGTTTATTGTGCTAATGATGTTGCCAGCATTTTTTTGTTATTAATGTGGTTATGGTTGTTATTTTTTGCAGTAATTGGAAGGTAAACATTGTTTCTGTGATTCTTAAGCATTAACTACAGAATGCCTTTAACTTTTCATCAAATCTGCAATATGCCTAACCTTATATAGTGAATTGTAGGGGACCTGAAGGAAGTTCAGTAGAATTAACCATTCGCAGTGGGCAAGAAATAAAGCATCTTGCTTTAACGTAAGAGTACTGCATTGTTTATCTCTCTTTTGATGTGCTATTAAAGTTCTTGCTTTAACTTCTTGTCCAAGGGAAATTTGACTCCACTTTTATCCGAGCTTAGATTGATTCTGCTATTTCAAAGTGGTTGTTTTGAAGATCTGTGCTTCACTATGCTCTTACTGCAGGAAATTTAACTACTTTTATAGAACTTTAATAGCACCCTCATACTCTGCCATATTTGGCGAAAAACATACATCAAAAAAAAGAAACAGCCACCATTACCCTCTTTCATCGCATGGCATACATATGTTTCTTACATCCTGTCAAACATATCATCAATGTTTTTGACATTTGAAACTAACTGCTGCTTTCCAGGCGAGAGAAAGTGTCTCTAAATCCAGTGAAGTCAAGACTCTGTGTAATTCCTGGTTCAGGGAAGGATTCCCCCAGGATTGGGTATATTAAACTGACAACATTTAACCAAAATGCTTCAGGTAGTTTGAGGTAGCTATTTTATTTCTGAGGAATTATTCATTTTTTCCTTTAAATAAAGAGAGAATTTGTCAGTCATAAATCAATGCACTGGAAAGTCTGCATTCTTAACCAAGCTCAACATATTTGGATTATAAACTGTCTGTAAATGGTCTGCTATTCCCCCATCTGTAATGATTTTTCAGAGCTCAACATGATTTTTATAATGCTGCTTTTGCATTTAGTACGTATTTGGTATATAACGTTCATGATTGCCAAGTGTTCTTCTCTATTGCACCTTAAAAATTAGTAGTCTGTTAGAGTGAAATGTTTCTGGGAATTCCATCCATTCAGTATAGCATGTTGAGAATTCAGATATTTTGCAGGTGCAATCAGGGAAGCTATCAATACTTTGAGGAGTAATAATGTTAATGCCTTTGTGTTGGACCTTCGAGATAATAGGTGATTAGCTTTGAATATCATATATTTTAAACTTGGTCCTATGGCTGCATTCTGAAAGCTTGAATTCGCTGCAGTGGTGGCTTGTTTCCAGAAGGGATTGAGATCGCCAAGATTTGGTAAGTTAAATTGCGATGAATGTATACATTTGAATTTGAGTTCATGGGTGTTGTAGCTTAAGCATTGGTAGCAGTACCTTTTAAAGGCAGGATTGGTAGGGGTTTTGGCTGCATAGTCGTATGAGCATGATCTATGTTTTCTTTTATTTCAAAATATATATTTAGTGTCTATTCCTCTATACCTACTGTGAACTATGTTTATTGGTTTCCAGAAATTACAATGACATGTCTTAATAGTCAAATCTATAAATATAGTGTCTTGGTTTTTATCCAAAAGAAAAGGATTAGGTGGATATATGGACATGTGTGTGTATTATATATTTTCATGTATTTGTTTGTGGTGTCTCTTCATGTATTTATATTTAGGATTATGTCCATGATTTGTTTGTCATATATCCTTCTTCACTTGATTGTTGCTTGGCTTCTTTTTATCACTTACATCACTTAAAATGATTGAGCTCTTGAGTCTTGACTACCCAACCCTGGGATACTGCTTGAAGGTGCTTCATTGTCTTTTGCAGTTAATGCAGACATAATTTGTATCCAGTATTCATTATGCTTTCTAATAAAACTTTTTATATCAAAATGAATTTGTACTGGTTGAGAATTTGTTTTTAATTTAGAATCAAGGTTGTTGACAGCTTAAAAAATTTCTTTTCATTTTTTTTCTCTCTCTGTCTAATTCAGCATCATTTTATTTTCTAGACTCACTGTCCAAGATGCCACATTTACTCACTCAGCAGATTTGAACTTTTGTTTTTCCTAATGCATTTCATGTGGGAACTGTGCTATAAGAATCCTGTTAGCCTAAATGTAAATATAAGTAAAATAGGTGGCAAGTGCTATTCAGAAGTTGCAGTGCCCTTTTTCACTAGAAGGAAGAACCTGTGCTTATTACAAACAATGAAAAAAAAAAATGTAGATACATGTCTATGGCTTACAATCAACTGTATATTTTTGGCTCCACCACATTGCTTGAAAAGAGAAAACCCTTAGGCATTGTTGTCCCTTATTTTCCTTCACACGTTTAGTGCAGCCTCCAGTGTTTACCGGGAGTGCTTGTGGTCATATCATAATTGTATTGAATTTTGACCTAGGTGTGGCTGTAATTTTTTGTGCATGTGGGTGGGAGGTTGATTAGTTTGCTTTCTTTTTCTCTTCCTTTCTTCTCTCTCTGTAATTTTGTTTTTTGGGGGGAGCGGGGATTTACTAAAGAGATTATTGGAACCATAAATTAACATAACAAATGTGATCACTTAATACCCGATAATTTCTATTTAGTCAAGATTCACTATATACTAGTCTATTAATCTACTGGTTTTGTTCAGGTTAGACAAAGGTGTCATTGTGTATATTTGTGATAGTCGTGGGGTTAGAGATATATATGACACTGATGGAAGTAGTGCAATTGCAACGTCAGAACCCCTTGCTGTACTGGTAAGCTTTCTTTTACCGAATCCTGGGATCATCCGTAACATTTGTTGATGCTTAAGAGTATGTGACTTGAGTAAGTAAGTTTGTAAGAACTATCAGTTGCCTTCAAGGCTCTTTTCAGTGAACTTGATGTCTGCTCTCTGTATGAGCTGTCAAAAACCCTCTCTCTTTCAATTTCTAGTATAATTTGGTTGCAATGTAAAGCAG